GGGAGCTCCCACTGCCCTGGCGCCCCGGGGGGCTGTCCACGGGCTGCAAAACAGCTCATCGGTATGAAAATGTGGGTGCAGTGGTTTGATGTGCTGTGGGGATTCTCCAATCTTTGAGTGGGAAATTTTGAGTTTTAAAAGCTTGTAAGAATTTTTAATTTATCTTATTTTCTTTGCTCTTGAAGGGAAGGCTAAAGTGTGGCAGGAAGTTGTGTATTCCTGCATGGCTCTTGTACACACTTTTCTGTCTGTGAGGAGTTGGCTTAGCTGAATTAAATAATAGAAGCTCTGGCTGTAGTTAGTCCAGGGAATACTTAATGTGGGTAAGATGACTTGCCCTGCCCACGTGAGAACAGTTGAACTTAAACCACTTATTTTCTTGCCCATTATGGTAAAGCAGTTTTTGAAACCCGCATGAACAGAGGGAAGGACACAATTAACAGTAAAGTCAGGAAATTGATTCTAATAACAGGGAGCTTAGTCCCCGGCATAGCATCAGAATCCCAAAGAATGGACATGAAAATAAACATCAGCTTTGTTGATGTATTTTATATTGGAACAAAGATTCCTGACCATGAGGTTATTATTTTGAGACACATTTTCTTTTACTCCTAATTCTGTCTACTGCAGCGTCAAAAACTTTTATATGGTGATGGTATTAGGAATTTATTTTCCAAATTGTGACTTAAACTATTTCAAGGAATTGGTAAGATAATAGAGTTTTTGGGATAGAGTTATGGACTGAGATTAACCTTGTTAGTTTTATTACTAACACCCGTTATTGAGAGATTTAAAAACTTTTTAAACAAACATTTATCTGGCATGTAAATGAATCACCCAAATGTGTTTGTTACCTCAATGTGTTTTTGAAGTTATTTGTGAAATACTATGTTCCATTTAATTCCAGTTTAGGAGATGTTTAGGCTTTGAAAATCAGTGGGATTGTGAGTGGTGTCTTCCAAAAGAGTAACATTGGAAGTGGAAGTTTCCTTCTTCATGAAGACAGCTACAACCCAGAGCATGCCCTGCATAGGTCACAGCTCCTAATGGTGTAAAGGAAGAAGACACAACACAATGTTTTCTCAGTTTCTGGCGTCTTCTCCCTCGTTGTTGACACCATCAAAACAAGTAACTGTTTTTATCCAGATGCCTGTTTCATACAAGCTCAGTCAAATGATCCCTTTCTGTCACGCAGTCTACTGAATGTAGCAGTGATTTGGATAGAGGGAACATTATCCCAGCTGTGCAGTCTTGCAGGCTTCTGAGTTCCCTGACAAAATCACATGCCACTACCTTCCTTAGTGGCAAAGGGTCACAGACACAGAAGTTAAAATGCTGTTGCAAGTCTCATTTCTGTGTCATCGTGAGTCACAGGTTTGTGTTACTGGGCAAAATCCTAGTGTCATTGCAGGGGGAGAAAAAAAACCCAAGCATTTTGTAGGAGGCTCCAGTAGTGGTGATCTTTTCTAAAATTATGTATTTTATGACCAAAAAAAAAAAGAAAAAATGCATCCACAGTAAATTTTCATTGAAAGCTTTTAATGAAACACTTAAACCCTCAAGCCTGGGTGCCCTTCCTCCTCTTCAATTATGCAGTTCGGATAAATTATAAGCAGTTATAGTTTTCTAATTAAACTTATACGCATCATAAGGCAGATGCATTGTGTTATGAATAGACTATAAAAATAAATGTTTTTGTTTAAACAATGGCATTGCATATAAAGCCATAGAGAAAGTTTATGAACAAAAAAGCCCCTTGTATACCAGTGAACAGGAATGTGATCTCACAGGCTGTGAGGCTGTTTTGATGTATTACAGTGGCTGTGGTCCCGCAGCACGTGTTTTCCTGTGAGAAACATTTCTGTAGAGGTGTGCATCCTCTCAAATCAGTCATAGTTGAAAGTGATGCAACTTCAACATTAGGATTAAAAAATCTGTGTAGATTCCCTGATATTTACTTTAGAAGGAATAATCTACAAAAACCGAACCATATTTAAGGTAAGTGTGTCCTGTGTTTTGTGTTCACAAGTGGCAACCTACGTCCTAATTATTTTTTCTTGTTTTAATTTTAAGAAGACTGGATTTTTTTGCCACTCTTACTTTCCTAACAAACCATCTTGTCCCATGAGTTGCTTTTCTTAACAAACCAACAATTATGAGTACTTGTGACTGCTTAGATACCACTGTGCTTCAGATATTTCTTGACATGTACAGGATAAGAATCTGATGCAAGGGATTAAGTATGGGTAGGAGGAACACAGTGGAAACTCAACATCTCAACACCAGCAACATCTCACTGAGCGCTTGCCCAGCCTGGGCACGGGAGCTGATACCAACTGCTTCTGGAGTTGAAGATGCTGTGTGACAAGAAGTGGGCTAGGTAGAACCCACACCTGGGCAATTCACCGCGCAATGTCCATGCTCTCACTCTTGCTTCCTGCTAAGCTGCTCAAACTTGTGTTTTCTCTGGATAGACTTTTTTTTGGAGCATTTTTTATCAGGAACTTGCCAGCTTTATTGGGGTGAGAAGTGTGTTGTAATTTTCTAGGCCAGTTGCAAAAAGACCTCTTTGAAGAGAACTTTTGCAGATGATCAAAGACTGTTTTATAGGTATCGAGGGAAGAGTGGGGCATTTCACAGCTGAGTAACCCTGTGGCTTACTATTTTTATGGGGTTTAGACCTAATTGTCTTTAAGGCACCTCATTCCTAATATGGGCATATTTATTATTTGGAATATAAAGAAAAGAAATTAATTTCATGGCCATAAAACTTGAAAATAACCACTAGAATTGGAACTTGCACCCAGCATACCCCTTCTTGGTTTTATTTGACAGTTTAAAAGAAGCAAGTATAAGCTGTTGCAGTCCAATAACATTTATCTCAAGAGCTGTAATCAATGCTCACTTTGTTATGTTGATCATGTTGTATAATACATGGGCCTAAAAGCATCTGAAATCTGTGAGCTGTCTTTGGCATTGTGTTTCTCATTTTTCTTTTCTGTCTTTCCAATTTGCTAAGTTTGCTGGAAATTTCATATAAAGACATGAACAATTCATGCATGGAGAACATATTGACTTCTGTTTTTCACTAACATTCATTGACCTTTTGGGTCAATAAATTTTGAAGTTGACTTAGGAAGTCAATATGCCTGATTTTAATTTAGATTAAGTTTTAATCTGATTCAGCACTCTGCTTCCCCTTTTATAAATAAATTTTTTAAAAAAGCTTATAGCAATTTATTATTAAAATATATGTCAGCTAAGAACTGTTTCCTATAGGTGTGGGAATCCCTGGCTAGAATATTTTTTTTTCTGTATTCCCAACGCAGCATTTGAAAGTGATGTTCCAGCCTCCCAGTGTGTACTCTGTCCCTCTCAACTGTTCCAACATCAATTGTAGAAAATGATACAGATAATTAAACAAAACTATGTGAATTTCAGGAGCAAGTGTTTTCCATCACGTTGGAATTTCACCTTACATGAGCAAATTTGACTTAAATTACATTTCCATCTGACGTTATTAATTCCATCAAGGAAGCTCTGTGTAATATTAATTACAGATACCAATTATATTATTTCATCTTTCCTTTCCATTGAAGCTTCAATAAAAATTCATCAAGTGAAGGACATGATTATCATAATAATTTTTAAAATCCACCTCAACTCTCTTACCACATACACACAAAAATTGTTAATAGCATTGGAATCATGCATGTGAGAGTGTACTTGTCAAAATTTTGTGCACAATACATCTGTAAATAGAAGGGATGGGAGCATTTTTGGTTTACTGCCATGAATGCTTTCCTTTGAAAAAGTAATTTGGCAGGCTGGTTCTTACAGAAATCAGTACAATGGTATTAGCTTAAAATTTTTGTGATTTTTTTCAATCTGCCCAGCCCTTTCAAATGATATTACCACTGGTGAAAAACCACTCTGATGTCATTTTAAGTAGTTGTAGTTTGACCTTGTGGAATTTTGACATTGCAGTATGGGTAGCTGTCGCAATGTCACTTTAACTTCACTTCATAGAATTAACAAAAAGAGCCTTGTTGTTTTTCAGTGGGGAAAAAAAATCAGAGAAATTATCAAATGCTATTTCAAACTTCAGCAATGAAGTACTAGGGAAAACAATGGTTAACTGTGAGGCAATGTGTCATGCTAAGATAGCAGCCAATAGCTGGCAGATTCTAATAGTAAAATTGGAACTTCAGCAGCCCATAAATCCCAAGTATCATCTACCACATTTGGAGTACTAATTTGAAAATATAATAAAGAAAAGCACTGTAAATTATAGTGAAAATCTCTTTGAGAAAAGATCTGTAGTCTATGTAGAGACAACATTCTGCACTGATTTTAAGTGCTGGTATTTTTTTAGCACTGGCACTCTGGGTCTGCAGTACGTGGTGGTTTAGACTGTAGGGACAATCCTCTGCACTTAGAATGAAACTCAATGTGTGTTTGTCCTTGCATTTAATTAGTACAGCTGGTTCTTATTCCTGATCATGTAACCCTGGATGTATTTTTTTAGGAACTTGGAAGTAAGGACAGAAAAATGGTGCTGCACATGTAACAGCTCTGTAGAAAATTCTGCCTTCCCATTCGTAGCCGCCAGACTGTTGAAAATCACCAGTATATTTGCACAATGTATTATTGTGCATAGGCCATGAAACTGCTGTCCTGTCACTTGCCTATGCACAAATACCTAGTCGTACATTCAGAGTATCAGCACCTTTGCTTTGACCTGGCCCTCCATTGCTTGGTATTGGCATTGCTTTGTATTGTATTTGTGTAATGTATTGGCATGTAATTGCTTTCACCATTGAAGAAATTCCTTTTACAACTTCCATTTTGAATGTATACGGTTGGCTAGTTATTCTTTGTTTGTATTGTTCATTTTCACTTTCTGTTCAAAACTGCATGATAACTAGAGCTAAGAAACAATCTTCAAAGGGAATCCATGTTATTAGGAGAAATGTTACAGTTTTTCTCTTTTCTTCTAGGCATTGATTTTAAAGTAAAGCCAGTAATGTATAATGATACAAGAGTGAAACTTCAAATATGGTAAGTTTTTAGTTTGTATCACAAATGAGAGCCAGCTAAATTGTGTTACAGCATGAAAAAACTTACCTGCTGTTAATTGTGCATCTTCCTAATGTGCAAGTGTTCCTACTAGGTAATTCTAAAACTTGAATTTAGCCTAGGACAACATATTTTTTGCAGCAACTAATGTAAGTTAAAGAGAGGGTTGCCATTAGGTTGCTTTAACTATAAAACTTGCACCATACAACCAGTGCAGATGTGCAGTCCTTGTTAAGTATATTTAATCATACAGGGACATTGAGGAGAGTGACAAAGCAAGAAACTTTTACATTTAATTACTCATCAAATGCATATTCAAAAGGGTCACCAAGAGAAAGCTAGTAAGATGAATCTTTGGGAATGTGAACTGTCTTTTGGTTTGTAAGTTTTTCTAAAGGGTATATAAAACTACTGGCAGTTGTCTCTCCAGGCATCCAATACTGAAGGTTATCTATATTTACCAGTATTTACTCAAGGAGTAACTCTGTACCTGAATTATCTGACCAGTATTAGATCTGCAGTTATTCCATCTCAGGTTTTAATGTAATAAAGTCTTGAAGGCTTGTTTACAGTTTTTTTAAGATATAACTGTGTAGGAATCTCTGCTCCCCCAAAAAGTACTTTGACTTTTTCCTGAAAACTGTCTTCCATTTAAATCACCTTACTGTACATGTCACAGTTTACAAAGGGCTTGTGAGAATATGGGGATGTCATTTGACAACCCTGGGATACACCACTAGTGACGGGTCTCCAGAGTGTAGTTGGAGGCCTGTCACTAGTGGTGTCCCCCAGGGTTCCTTACTGGGCCCAGTTTTGTTCAACTTATTCATCAGTGACTTGGATGAGGGGACAGAATGCCTTCTCAGCAAGTGTCAGCAAGTGCTGATGACCAAACTGGGAGGAGCTGCTGATTTCTGAAAGGGCTGTGCTGTCCTTCAGAGGGTCCTCAACAGGTTGGAGAGATGGGCAGAGCAGAACCAACTGAAATTCAACAACGGCAAGTGCAGAGTCCTGCACCATGGGAAGAATATCCCCAAGGACCAGTACAGGCTGGGCACTCACCTAATTTAAAGCAGCTCTGCAGAGGAGGGCCTGGGGGTCCTAGTGGATAACAACCTGTCCATGAGTCAGCAGTGTGCCCCTGTGGCTAAGAAGGCCAGTGGAATCCTGGGATGCATTAAGAAGGGTATTGCCAGCAGGTCGAGTGAGGTGATCCTGCCTCCCTACTCAGCCTTCATGATGCTACAGGTGGAGTATTGTGTCCAGTTCTGGGCTCCTCAGTACAAGAGGGACATGGAGCTCCTGGTGAGGGTCCAGCAGAGGGTGATGGAAATGTTTGAGGGACTGGAGCACCTCACTTATGAGGAAAGGCTGAGGGAGTTGGGCCTGTTCAGTCTCCAGAAGAGACAACTGAGAAGGGGATATCATTAGTGGATACAAGTATATGAACGGGAAATACCAAGATGATGGAGCTAGACTCTTCTCAGTGGTGGAAACCAGTAAAACAAGAGGTAATGGGCAAGAGGTGATGCACAGGAAGTTCCACCTGAATACAAGGAAGAACTTCTTTACTGTGCACGAGTCACTGAGCACTGGAACAGATTGCCCAGAGAGGTCATGGATTCTCCCTCACTGGAGGTATTCAAGAATCGTCTGGATGCAATCCTGAGCCATGTGCTCTGGGGTGCCCCTGCTTGGGTAGGGATGTTGGACCAGACGACCCCCTGTGGTCCCTTCCAACCTAACTGATTCTGTGATTCTGTGACTCCTGCAGTGCTTGTACTCCAGGGGTTTTTTTAATCACCTATGTTGTACTGATCATAGTGATTACGTATATAAAGAAGCAGTGGTGTGCTTGATGATACATTCAGACTTCAGCCATTGGTTTGGCTTCCCCAGTAGAACTGTAGCATTCAGAATAAATTTCCAGTGTATTTCTTCACTGCTTTGTCTGGCGCCCAGGTTTTCTGTCATCCATATCTTTTCTTGTTCCTTTCATGTTAGGGTTCATCAATCAAAATTTGGGCAATACTCCTTAAAATAAAGTGATTCTTCTTGGGAGTTCTGCAGTTTGATCATCTTTTTGTTTCTTTGTGCGTATGATTTATTACAATTTCTTCCAGGGATACTGCTGGCCAGGAACGATTCCATACACTTAGTACTAGCTATTTCCGTGGTGCACAAGGCTTTGTTCTTGTATATGACATCACAGATCTGAAGAGTTTTCAAAGTATAACAATCTGGATGGAAGACATATATGAGGTAAGTATATTTGTCAGTGGTTGATCTCTTAATTAAGGTAATTAATGTGTTTCTGCACTTGTTTTAAGTGACTGCATGAGATGTATGTTTCTCACCAGAATTTATTGCATTTAACTCAGCACACAGTACAATAGTAGAATTACATCATCTGAAACTGGAATACAATGTCTATTACCCAGGACAAGCCCATGGTGATGCAGGAGTGTTTTCTGAAGTACTTCTAAAACATAGCTTCCGATCCAGCTCTGTGCATGCTGAGTTATGGTGCTTTTGTCACTGGTGTAGCTATGCACAAGTCAATCTCCATGAGCTCGTCCCAGGATTTTAATTGGCTTCCGTGTCAAAGTTCTATGTCACAGTGTTTTCCCTGTCCTAATTTTGTTACTTATGTAAGAAGATGGTTTCAAGAGGGGGAGCTGGGGCAGGAAGCTGTTCGGTTCACTCAGCTGCCAGAAACACGTGCTTTCATGTGACATAGGAAGTGATTCAACAGGACACAGCTGCCAGATGGGGCATATGTTCCCTTCTTCCAGCTTCTGAACATTGGCTCCCACTGTGCTGCTTCTGGAGCCTGTCAGAGCCCTCTGTGGTTCACTCTGACTTTCTAATGTGGTAGAAAATTAGCACAGGAAAAAAAAAGCTGAATGGTTTTTCTGCTCCATCAGTGAGTTTAAGAAGCTCATAGAAGGGTCTGACGCTTCTTGGAGTTGGTGCAAGATGAACAGGTAGGAGTAGGAAGGTCAGGAGAAGAATGTGTGGGAACAATGTGAAGAGAAGAATCAGGGAGGGAGGAGTGGGCAAGCCCTTAGACATGAAATCATTCAGCTGGCGGTAGCCATGTATCCCAAGTTTTTATTGCTAGGCCTTTCTTGATGTGTTCTCTCTTAGGTAGAGGCAGGTCAGTTTTAGAATAGATTAGTTTAACTGGAGGGGACATAAGTGATCATCTCGTTCAGTGATCATCTAGTCCAGTTGCCTGACCTCTTTAGGGCTGACCAAAAGTTAAAGCATATTATTAAGGGCATTGTCCAAATGCCTCTTAATTTGTCTTGGGGAATCAGTCATCTCCCTAGGAAGCCTGTTCCAGTGTTTGACCACCCTCTTGGTAAAGAAGTGCTTCCTAACACCTAGTCTGAACCTCCCTGGTGCAGCTTTGAGCCATTCCCCCATGTCCTGACTCTCGATACGAGGGAGAAGAGATCAGCACCTCTCTCCTCTTCCCTTCCTCAGGAGACTGTAGAGAGCAATGAGATTGCCCCTAAGCAGTAGCATGGAAGTTTGTATTTAGCATGCTTGTGTAAGTTACTGTGCTTGTGTAAGAATCCAAACAAGGTAGTGCTTTTTGTTGATTAAAATCAAGTAAACATTGAGGGCAGGTTCTTTTAATAGTCTTGTGATTTGGTGGGAATATAACATGATGGATGGGAGAGTTCATCTTGGGAAAGTGGGCTTGAAATAAAACCATCAAACACATCATTTTCTCTCTTCACAGCTTCAGTATACAGCTGAATTAATGAACTACACATGGTCATATATCCAATAATACATACATAGCATATCTTGTGCTCTTGGTGAAACATTACATTTACATTATCTCATTATTAAGAACATTACTATGGTGACCTAGTACATCATTATCCTTGACCCCAGAGCCATCTCAGAAGTATTGGTGGCAATAGAGCCTAACTTTAGTAATGTGTTACAATGGGGATTCGATGACACAATGTTCTTACTGACTTGTCGGAACACACTTCAAACTAACACATCTGTTTTTATTATTTTGTTAAGAAAATCATGTGCACTTCTTAGGCAAGCAAAAGTCACAGCTAGATAAGCTGCTGGTTGTACAGTTTCATGGTTAACAAAGATTTAACTCAGCACACAGTATTATAGTAGGTTTACTGTTACTTGAAGCTGAAAATGTAGATTATCCATATATATCCATTTATATCTGTCTATCTATGCATAGATCTATATATCCATATGTATAAATTTCTATGTAAAATACTGGTCTGTCTTCGCACTGGCTCCAAAGGGGTCAATTCATCCTGTCATCTTTAATTAGATCAACAGGATGATTGATTCAGTGGGCTACAATGCACAACCATAAACACCGAGAAAGTATCAGGACTGCATGGCTAGGGTGGAGGCAAGGATGGGACTAGCTCCTGCAGGCTTAGATCTGCTTGAGTCAGTCAGGAAATGACACCTGCACGAGCCTGCTGTCTGTTTGTGACACTTAAATGCTTTCATGTAAATATACTCAAGCTATTAATATTTACACTGTTTAATCTTAACCCCTGAAGGTACTTTATTAGTTTAAAATTTAAAAAATGGAAAAGTACTCAATCTAAAACAATTTCTAGGAATGTAAATTGCGTGATTGATTGTACCAATCTCAAAACTAGCAATTAGTGTTGTAATAGAGCTAGATAATAATAAAAAATTTAATGTAGTCCTAGTGGGATATCAATTTCTGAAGTGTCTTGGTGAAAATATATGTGGCCATTCATTGCAAAAGAAATGTTTTTAAGCTGTAACTGTTAAAACACAGGGCATTTCATGAAAATTAATTACTTACTGGAGGTCAGTGACATTCCCTGCATTTGCTTTGGTCTGTGAATACAAACCAGTATTTAATTCCCCACAAATGCCCAGAATCAAAGTGGCCATTGCTACAGCATCCCTTAAAATGTGCAAACATAGGAAAATGTAAATATATTTTAAAAAGAGAAACAGATAAAATACAGGTTTTGCTAAGTACCAGACTAATAGGTAATGTAAAGCTTGCACCTGAACCAATCAAACAGGAATTTTTGAGACAATTCAGTTACTACATTATGCTTTTTTTAATTCTTTGCACATAAAGATTTTAAACAGAAAGATTTTTAAAAGTCTGTTCAATGTGCTAAGCCATTTTTACAACAGTTGAAAATAACAGTCTAAGCAATTTAGCATTCCTAAAAACCCCATTGATTTTATGAAAACTGGCCAGTCGGTGCAATTACAATCAGATTGGCAGCAATGTTCTCATTATATTTCAGTTATTTTAAGTGTGGAATACAGCAACTTTCCTATTAAAATGAATTATTGTTCAAGGAATTCAAGACACAAATATACTGCCATATCTGTATTGCTGTAAAATTTGTATTCAGAACTAGAGGAAATTAAGTAACATGACTGTGCTTAAAAAGCTTACTAGAAAAATATACACACTCACAGATTAATATCTTAGGACATTATTGGCAAATCCAAAACAGATATATTTGATTTGTAATGCATTCATTAAGAGCATGTTAATTGCAGGAATATTACTTTAGAACCTCAACTCATTTTTTATTTGTAGGGTTGCAGGTTATGTCCAATTTATTAAAGTGTTCCTCTTGTCTACTGATATGGCCTCTAGCTATTCTATGCAACTGTTCTCAAAGGCTGATTCAGTTTGACCTTTGAAAGGACAAGTAACTGTGTACCAAATCCATTTGCAAAAAACACCCCAGTTCTTTCCGGGATGTTTTGAGCAAGATTCCAACTAACACTGGCAAAAAAAGTTCCTCACAATAGAGTGGTCAAACGGTCAAACATATCCAGGGACAGTCTCGAGACACTTACAGCTCCATTTAACAGAGCCTTCAACAACCTGATCTGACTTTGAAGTTGGCCCAACTTCAAGCAGGGGGTTAGACCAGATGACTTTCAGAAGTCCTTGCCATCCTAATTCACTCGATGATTCATGCATGGCCTCTGGGTTTCCTAAACCTGTTGACACAGATGGTAGGTCCCAGTTTTCTTTTACGTACCTTGGACTGGTTTTCATTGTGCTAGTGTCCTGGTGTGGCTGTGAAGGTGACATTACCAGTTCCTAACAATTATCTCCACGATGTAGATTATCTGCCAGCACAGAATTTTCTGCATGAAATTATTTTTCCTCATGTTGTAGCAAGTCTTGGTGACAATTGTTTAGTGTTCTTGGAATATATTAGCTTACTTTTTGTCTTACCTGAAGAAGTGACCTGAAGAAGTGCTTTACAAATGTAAATTAGTTTCACTTCAAACTCTTCCGAGGTTTTCTTGCTCAGATGGGAAAGCTTGATGTCAAAAGATCACGTTGTTCCAGTTCATAGATGGGTTTGTTGTTATGGCTCTGATTAGAACTTAAAATTCTTGTTCTTGTCATTTTACTAAATCGGTTTATATCTAATCCAAGATTGGTTTTCTGATAAATTCATTTATCTACTGGTGTCTAAGTTTGCTAATACATAAACAAATCCTATCATTCATGTAATTCCACTGAAGTCCTGGAAACCAGGCATTTGTAACTGAGGTCATAAGATGGCACATAGAAAAATATATGCAAAGAGACATGTATGGGAATCATAACACGAACACTGCCCATGTGATGCTGTCAAAGAGATTGTGATGACAATCTATTCCAAACAAATTGCTCTTGAATATTACAAAGGGTAAGTTTCTAGTGTCATTGTCTAGTGAGCAGGAAGAAGAAACTTCCTAGCTTTATGGCCTTCTCCAGCTCTGTCTTCATCTTGCTGTTTCATAGAATCATAGAATTTTAGGGGTTGGAATGGACCTTATAGATCATGTAGTCCCAATGCCCCCTGCCATGGGCAGGGACACCTCCTCACTAGACCAGGATGCTCAACGCCTCATCTAGCCTGGCCTTGAACACTGCCAGGGTTGGGTCAGCCACTACCTCCCTGGGCAACCTGTGCCAGTGTCTCTCTACCCTCATAGGAAAAAACCTTTTCCTAATATCTAGTCTAAATTTCCCCTCCTTCATCTTGAACCCCTTGCCCCTTGTCCTGTCACTGCAGTGCCTAAGAGTCCTCTCCAGCTTGCCTGTAGGCCCTTCAGATACTGATAGCCTCCTATGAGGTCACCATGCAATCTTCTCTTCTCCAGCTGAGCAGCCCCAGCAGTCCAGGCCATTTCTTATTCAAATCTCATGTGTGTATCGTCTTCAGAAATGAAAAATTACATTATTCTTCCTCAAATACAAGCTAATTAAGTATCCCCATAGTATATGTATCAGGTATGGGTTTGCAGGTTCACTGTTTGGATCTACAAACCTACTTTTGTTGCCTTTGCAAACTGCTGTCAGTGAGTATCAGAATCATGCAACCCTTCACAGCTATACACTGGAAACGGGTGGAGGGCCAGGGTGGTGGTTCTGGAAAATGTGTCACTGGACAGATAGTTTTATACAACAAGGAGTCTGGATGAGCTTGTGATCATGGCCAGTTTGCTGTGGGGGAGATTGAGGCCTGCCATTCATGGTAAGGTCTGTGCTCACCATTTGAAAAGTGAAGGGACAGTTTCCTCCAGTAACCTCTAAGTACAGATACAATGTAGTCCTCTTAGCATGAAGGTGTCTGCTGCTTTTGATACTCAGGTACCTAAGTTCATAGCAGTTTGGGAAAACGAGAACTACAGAAAAAAGAGGACCTAACATTGGAAATAAAACCGAAAACATCCCCAAACAAATTACATACAAAAGGGATGAGCAAGATATTTTCCATTTTTCATTTTTGATTTCTGTTAATAGCCACATAGTCAGTGACTTGGCTATTTGCCTGTTTGGGTGCCCGGGCTAGGTGAACATTAAGCAGTAGGGTGAAGGGCGTGGGTGCGTGGCTGCAAAAGAGAACATGGTGTGCGGTGCCAGAGTGCACTGTTCTGAGTCCAGTGTGTGGCACTGCCGAGTGTGAGGCTCTGCCGCTGCTCCCTCCCGTGGCCACTGCTCAGAGCAGCTCCTGCTGCCACCAGATCCAGCTGCTGGGGAGTACAGCAGTGGAAAAACCCTTTTGCCAAAACCTGCTGACTCCAAGCTCTGCCAAACATTTCAAAACGCTTGGTCAGTCTCAATGAATCTCTTGGCTCCAATTTTTTGAATGCAATATACTGCTGATCTTTCCTTTTTTGGACACTTTTAGAAATATTGTCTAGGTTTTCTCCAAGTTCAGATTATTTTAAGCTTCAATAAAATGTGAACTTTGAAATGTTAAAACCCAAGGAAAAACTGAGAGAGTGAACCAAAAGTCTGGCATTTTTGAGATGCCAAAGCAAAACATATTTTTTTTTAACCTCTCAAAAACCAAAACCCAAACAAAAACACAATTCTTTTTGCATTAATGAAATTGATGACATTTTAAATAGTACTTTCCATGGCATTGGGAAAATATGTTTCCTGGCTCTATCAGCTTACTGAGTGCTGACTTGCATAATAGCATTTTAACAGCTGTAAAGTAACCATCATCTTTTTAGCTATAGATTTTACATTTGGAAAGCTTATTCCTGGGCTATAAATAAAGAGTATGAAAATACACAGCTTTTGGAAGCACTGAAGAGCCCTATTTTTGGCCAATTCAAATTGGTGTATCTCTGCAGTTTTTATGCCAACTGAGCACATGGTCAAACTTCTGTCTAGTCATATTGACTTAATTTTTCAAGACTTCGTCTACATAATCAGTTTTCAGAATTTAAAATGGACATAATTTTGGTGTATAATCTTTAGTTTCCTAAAACCAAGAAACTAGAAGATACAATCTTCAAAAAAGGAGTATTTTAAGTGCTTTGGCGGAGGATCCAGACAAAGTGAAAATACATTAATATATTGATGTAGAAATAATAGTTATTTGCAGAAATAAATACTTAGTGATTGGTAATACTGATAAATAGTTCCTGAAAGTCCTGGTACCTCTAACCTCTTTTAAATTTTGTTGTTGTGTGAAGCTGTTTAGAAAGAACATTCCTACTGCAAAACATTTGTACTGTTTCTACAGAAATAAAGTTTCAGGATGAATTCAGTGGTTTTTTTTACATGCAGTATGCAAGTATTTCCCTTTGACCTTTAGCTTCAGAGTAGAGTCAAATGTCACTCGTAAAACCTTCATCAACATGCAGTCTTCTTCCAAATTAAAAGTTGATTATGTGATGAGATAAAATTGTCTATTTACCCTTTCTTAGGAACTGGTGTATGTGATTGACCTTAATGAGTAAAGCTCCAATGCCTTCTTAAACTGTCAACATTTTGGTATATTAATCCAGGTTAGACTGATTCATTATTTTAGGCCTGTACTTCATAGTCTTATGTTAAGTTTACTTCATTTTAATATGACACTGTCTTGAACATCAGCTGTGGTTGTGAAATAAGATTAGCTGACTCTAAGAGGAGAATGGGTTTTAAAAAATGAAATAGGGTTCTTTAATAATAAATCGTGCCTATTGCTGTATTCTTCAAAGGATGCAACTTAGTTGTAAAAGTACAAATAAACTAAAAATAATGATTCTCTCATCCTTGAATGAGTAGAGGTTTTTCCTTGCATTTTTCTGAATGGAGGGACATGTGTACATGTGTGTGAGCTCTTGGCAAGATGATTGTGACTGATTCTGTCCTTTGGTAAAGTTAAAGAAATGAAGACTTTGACAGAGATCAGAGGTTTCATCAGTGTCCCCATAGAGAGATCTGCAGCCTGAGACCAGGCTCTTTGAGTCATCAGAGAAGCTGTGTGAGCATGTACCTTCAGAATAAAAGCCATGGCATCAGACCACATTAGCTTCAATTGTCCCTAGATTGAGGCCTTCAGCTTCCTCCATTTGAGTACCAGAAGTGGCTTTAAATATTATGATTTTCACAACAAATGTCAGTTTTCAAATTCCACATGCTCTTGCAGAACTGTTCCCTTTCCTTGACATTATTCCAGTCACATGTAGCTATAATGGCTTATCTTAAAATAACACTGATGTAAAGAACCCAGTGCATTTCACAGTCATCATGGACGTGAGTGGATTAGAGGAACAAAGGATAGAGACAAGGGCAAAAAAGTAGATTTTTCTTCCTTTTGGAATCAATGAGGTTTTTAAATTTTACTTCATTAAAAATCTATTGCCTTCTTCTGAGTGCCTTGGAATAATCAGACTTTTATGTTGAGTTTGAATACTTTGAATGTAATTTTACTGTCTGTGTGCAAAAGTGAAGCACAGAGAGGTGCTCTTTCAGGTGCAGCAAATTCCTTCCTTCTTACTTGTGAATACTGGATGTAGACTGGAGTCATATGCTAATCCATGAATATATTACTTTAGGGAGGGCAGTGTCTGTGAATTCGGGGCATTTCCAGTCATTTTAAAGCCTCCAGATGGAGCATTCATCAGAAGATGGTGACCATGCACCGTATACTTTATACCTTATGAAAGGAGTTGGAAATTATGCCTGGCACTTTGAAGTGGCTTTTTTCTGCTCTTTGCAACCTTGCTGTTTTCCTCCTAATCCCAGTAACTGGTGGAAAATATTTCCACATATGAAGGTCAGGACAGAATTTAGCCTTTACTTTCAAGGGAATGAAGTGTTGAAGGTTGGTGTGAGCTGAAGGTGAAGGGCTTTTGTTGTTTGTTTTTTTCTTACTTGACACTCATTAATGCTGGTTCTCTTTTAGAAAGCAGGTGATGAAGTGGACGTAATACTGTTGGGCAACAAGTGTGATAAGGAGTCAGAACGTGTAGTGCCAAAACAGAAAGGAGAAAAGGTATCATGGGTATTTTCTTTGGGTTCTCCTGAGTATCTTAGTATGTGACGGTGAGCTTTTAAACTGAAAATGATAAAAAGCTCCTGAATTCCAAAAGTTCTATTAGGAATTGCTCTAGAAGAACATTAATGGAGTTCTGGAGGGTTGGGGTTTTTTTTTAGCATATGAGTAGAAATACATTAATTCCTAGCTGATCTCTTTAGAATACTGATTTTTCTCTTAAAGGTTAAAATGTACTTTATAAACATTTTAGATGCTACAATAGAAATCTTATATTTTTAATTAAAAATATTTTAGAGTTGCATTTTCAGAGTGCTGTTGTAATGTGGAATATTAAAATACAATGCATTCAGCACAATTTTTCTGGTACCATCCTTCAATGATCTTTTTGCTATAGTCTGCCTATAAGGAATTAGTCTGGCAAAATGATCTGCATTGTCTATGAATAGTCTTAAATAAGGCTGAACATCCATCCCCCCAGACTTAAGTCTGTATGTGTCCTACAGCTGAGACTACAGGATAGTTTATACCTGCTGACCAGGGGAAGAACTGTTGTTAAGTGGGGAGTGCTGTTTTAAGGGCAATGGCAAATGACTCTCACTGAGAACTCGTGAGGGAATTCAGGAGCCATGCTATGACAGAAGCAATTGTGATAATGGCTAAATATTGCAGGAGAGTGTGTCCTATATACCAGTAATGGTGCTACTGCAGACTGTATGCATCTGTTGTCTGGAACTTGGAATGAGCCCTCCTATTATGCTTTCAGGCATGGTGAGTCAGGCAGGATGTCTTGTGTTGAAAGAAAAGAACACTGATAACTTTTTGCCAATTATATAATCCCAGATTAGGAAACTGTAACAAACAGCATTACCTTCTTGACAGCATTACAAACAAACTCTTGAAAGTTCATTGTTCGTATGCAAGACGCTTTCGATGTTAATGTACATATCTGTGTACAGGGAATAAGGTTGCTGAGAAATACACGTGTACTCTCACACAAAGAACACAGTGTCAGAAATCTGAAGAGTCACTGGATGCATGTGCACAAGAGGGCAGTAGTAGGGTTTTGCATATGGTATTAACTGTGACGTTTTCTGCCTTCTGTGTTCTTAACCATGCAATCAAAATTTCTCTTAGTGTAGTATTTTTCAGAAACAAATCATTACTTCCTCCCCAGTGAGCCTGCTTTCTAGATTTCCCCTGTGTTCCGAGGCAAGACAACTCTTCAGTTCTACTATTTCTTCTTTTAATATGATTTACAAGTGCTAAAGCATCTGACTGAACTGAGAGAGTTAGTAATTGTTCTCTCACTCCAAAGAAAAAAATATCCTTATTGAAGAGAAAACAGTTTGATACTAACTCTGCCACATAATACTTCATACTTATATATTACATTTTACCTCATATGAGCTGTAAGTATTGCTCTGCTCAGTATCTTGCAGAGAAGAACCCTATATTCCCTGGGAATCTTATCATCTGTGTTGGCACATCAGTAAAAATCTGTCACAGCTGTGTGGCCATTGTATACCACATTATAGACTAATTTAATGCTGAGATTTATTTTGTTGTTTTCTCTTGTAATTATGTAATTTGATCACTCAGAAATTGATATATATCATTTTAATACTGTGAAGCATTTTCTTGTGTTAATTGCTTCTTATTCACTTCAACAAAAGTTTTGAGTCAACCTTCTTGGGCTCCTCCATTCACCCCCCCCAAGCTAATTATCTTTTTTACTGAAAAATAAATAAAAATATTGAAGGTGTATGACTTGGTAGAATATGGCAGTTGTTCTAACAGAAAGAGCAAAGTAAAATTTTCGTCCTTTTTTTATTTTTTTTTGCTTTTGCTGTCTTCATAGCTGAAGCTGATTTGTAGCTTCAATGCTAATTTTACATGTACAGTGCAAATTTAAAAAAATATTGCACAGTTCTAGGAATATTTCAGCCTGATATTTCTCTCTGATTCAACACTAAGAAATCATATCAGCACTTTGCTAGGAAGTAGCATATTTTGAGTTAAAAGAAATGAACAATTGGAATTAAGTTTTATCTTAAGCGATACTAGCATTACTTATTTTGTTATTGTAAGTAAGATATGAGCTTATTTCAGTCAAGAACTCCGAACTGGTCTTAAGGAAGACATATTATATCTTTTCCCAGTAGCATAATTCGCATAGGTTTGTAAATGTATTTAGGTATTTTATTTATGGATCTATTCAAGATGCTCCCAAAGGAGAAAAATAGTGCTTTGAATGTGCAAGGGAGTAGCCAGAGCAGTGGTCAAACCTCCAATTCCTTTAATACTGGACTGGGGGAATTTTAGCTTTAGAGGACTTGCTTGCCACAATACTTACCAGTGTGCAAGGTGGATTGAATTAACACATATATTAATCTTCTCTGACCAGTGTACACCTATAGAGAAAATGGGGGTGCATTGATAGGTGTAGTAGGCAATATAGTAACGTGATACAGAGAAGGCTGAAGTACTCAAGGTTTTTTGATTTGATTCGATTTTCCTTTTGCATTGGTCTTCATAAATAGAGCTTGCTCTCAGGCCTCTGCAGGTACTGGCATGGTTTGGGAAGGAGTAGGTCAGTCAGCATTGGACAAGTTTGGCTTGTGAAAGTCAGATATTTCCATAGACACAATGAAGTTCACCCAATTATGCTGAAAGAGCTGGTCAGTGTGACTGGGGCCATGGTCAGTCAACTCTGAAAAATTATGATATTCAGATTTCTTTTGACTAGAAAGATGCCAGCATGACACCTATCTTTTTTCAAAAGGCAAGGAAGGAGGTTCAGGGAACTGTAGTCAGTCAGCCTTCCTTCAGTCACTTTGTTTGCTGTCTTCATTAGTTATCTGGCTGATGATAGAAGGAGATTTGCATGTGACATGAGGTTAAGGGGTGTGACAGGCACACCAAATGAGAGAACACCAATTCTGTGGGACCGTGATAGACTTGAGAACTGGGTCAACAGAAACATCATGAAGTTCATGACGTGCAGAGATTTGCACCTGTGATAGAATAATCCCAGGCATGAGTCACTGCCCTGCTGCAAAGGATGGTCAAGTTACTATGAACACCAGCTTGAATATAAGTCAGCAGTGTAGTCTCATGGCCTAAAAGCATGCTGGGCTGCATTAGAAGGGTTATGGATGGTAGATCATGGGAGATTAATTACCCCACACACACACTTAGTGCTGGCAAGGCCACATGCAATTTTGTGTCCAGCTTTGGCTCTCCCATTTCAAGAATGGTGTTCAGAAACCGCAGATGGT